AGGAGGGACTCTCTTGAGTACTCTGTGAAAGCATTAAAACGTATGTGTTCTTACATTTATTCACACCAAAGTGATTTCTCCTTGTGTTTTTAGTCACATTATTAGTAGAACAATGAGAATTTTTGTGATTTACTTTCTTAAGCTTCTCTCCTGAGGAGCATACCACCCAATAATTTCACACTGCAGGACTATATATCCACTTGCCATTCATTTGGTGTCCCCCTTGGATATTTGTTCTAGCTCCACCACTACAATAACATATACTAACACATTATAATACAGTTTTAATCACACATAAGCACATTTCAATTGTTTATTTATGTAGCGTACTTTCAATGATTCTACCTTCTCTTAGATTTGTTTTATGCTGTCATTCATTATCTGTTTATACAGCTTATATCTGCTTATAACAGTATTATATTGTGATATTTAACCATTAACTACCATTATGTACTGATTATAAACAGTTGTTCTTGCATCCCTTCAAATGAATAACGCCTCACCACCCCCGTGAAGCTTTGGTTGGGAGCGACTGATCTAGTTCAGTGCAGAGACACTGGATGTCAGGAAGAGTTGGGAGAGAAACACAGATTAATGCAGGTGATATTGTACTTTGGTTGTGTAATTTCCAAACAAATAATCGGATTACTGAAAAGTGTACAAAATGGTGTCGTCAGCGTACAGGTGGGTGTGAGAGCCACCAGCAGCAAGAGCTATTTATGGCTTAAATTCTGGAAAGTAATCATTGTAAATCTCTAATCTTTATATGTGACTAGTTTACATTTTATTTGTCACAAACTCAGTAGTACAAGTACAATGTGCAGTGAAATGATTGTTATCTAACAGTTATCTAGCAGCAGCTAACAAGCAGCATCCACCAGTTTAACCACCAAACAGTCAATCAGAGTTATGGAGGGAAGCTGTCAGATTTTGTTCAGTCAAATAGTTTGTGGTTCAGACCACAGCAGAGACTTTGAAACCCCCTACTGCACATTCACTCACTTTGTAAAGCCATTTCCAGTTGCCGCAGCAATACTAGAAAAACAATCCAACAATGCCTCACTGTGACGATGACACACATTCGTCTGATGATGATATTGTAGCTTCTCCTGTCTCTCTGTACGGAAACTTCTGTGAATTCTTGTGACCCCCTTTATTAGATGTTCTCTCTTCGGGTGGGAGGGGATGACATCATCGTTCCTTTGTACAGTTTTTTGCTGGAAATTTGTGAATAAACTTTTCAATTTTGACTTCTGTGGAAAGAGCATATTCTCAGTGCCGGTAGAAAGTAACTAAGTACAGTTTTAACATTACTTGAGAGTTTCCATTTTATGCTACTGTCATAGTTGCAAGCTAAGAACTAAACATGAGGATTTGGACCCAAATGAGGCAGAGCTGACGCAGTCCACTTAATTGAATAATAAGAGGAACAGGACTGGAAACAAGCAAACAAAACTCAAAATTGTGACAGTACGGCCCCTTCAAGGAACAGCGTCCAGACGTAGTCCAAAAAGTCCAGGTCGAACCAAGTCAAAGCAGATTGGCTCTTTGGAAAGTGAGGGTGAAATGAGTGAGATACAATGCGTAACTACACCGCATGCTGGACCTTTAATGTTTTATAGGTCTTGCAAAATAATCTCAACTTAAAAAATTACAATTTTATTTGGTTTCCTTCACAGAACGCTGGAAGAGTTGGGGGTGCTGAGAATCTATTTAATGACGTCATACTAAATGCCAAGCCAAGCCAATTTCCCAAACCTAAAAAAAGTAGAGCAAACTCTTGTTTCCAGACATATTTCATAAACTAACCACACCACACATCCTGTTGTACTGATGGCCTATTTATATCGCTGTACAGTTACAAAATCGTGACAGCTACTTCATACTTCTACTCTACTACAATAATCTGTCCACTATGTAAATTACTTTTAGTATTTTACAACAAATATATGTTTAGGTTACAAACACAAGAAGGTTACAAATCAAGTGTTTTGCACTAGAATTTAAGGGCACTACAATGTAAGGGATAATGCCTGACAATGTTTATTATGAGCAATCAATGGACAACGTGGAGGACAGATCAGTCCAACCTGCAGGAGCCAATAATTCCCAATAATGGACACCTCCATGGGGCATTATTCCGCTCATATGATGGTAACTTTCCAAAGAAAGTAAAAAAAGTATAACTAGTTAATATGTTCATGCATTTTGAAGTCAGAATGTTTATCACAAGCATTACTCTGGTAACACCTGAGAGTTTGACCTGGATCAATGATGAGAATAAAATAGCTCGTAGCTTGTTGATGTATGGCTCTGATTGGTGGAAACTCTTGGGAAACAATTTGCGATCTTTATCTGCGGACCCCCCTCGCTCAGTGTCAGCTGGGATCGGCTCCAGCCTCCCTGCGGCCGTGCAAATGAAACAAAAATTATCAAACTAGATTTGAGCACAGGGCCACAAAGGTTTTGCAAGAATGCAAATCCACTTTACTTGATACTGTACTTAATTTTATAGATTCAGATTCATAATCTAAAAAAGATGCGACCCGCTAGCTAGCGCTTGAGGTTTTGATCCCCTTCACTGGATCCAAGGAGTCACTTATTTTATTTAATGAGATATAATATGTAACATTTCCTCATATAACAGTGTATAGACTCTGGCTCTATGTTCTATATGTAGATGTGTTCTTACCTTATCCCAAATGTTTCCAACAATGTTCAAACTCAGAGAAATCTCTCATTTTATTCGGGTAACGCTGCGTTTCACCGGTCGCCTGTCGATGGCGTCATATCCCCTTTGTGCCTGCGTCAGCGTTGTGGTTGTCTGCCAGAAGCTGTCATACATTGACTGTTGATCCAGTCTGAAGCCACATTGTTACCATCCACTGTTTAGATCTTGGTGCTTTTTAACTCTAGATTTGAACCGGATGAAGGACTTTAGTCATCGGACGTCTGGATCTTAAGTTATCAGAGAAACAAGCTGAGCTAACGTTAGCAGCAGCTCGGCTCGCAGCCCCTCCGGGACGTCCTTTGTCTGTCCAACAGCGTGGGAGAAGCATTTTTAAGGTGGAACTGCTTTATTCAGTGTGTTTAAGGTGGAACTGCTTTATTCAGTGTGTTTAGTGGTTTTAATCAGCGGGTCTGTTTGTGTTGGAGAGGAGGAGACCTCTGTGGATCATTGGGCTCCCGGTAGAAACCTCCTGAACCATGAACACTGAAGGAATCCTAACCGGGAGAAGCTGACTGCAATGACGCCAATGGTGGTGAAGACAACAACTCCCATGATCCCACACTGCTTCACCACCTCATCAAACTTCATCTTTTCTTATTGTTTTAATGTGAGACAGAAATGAAAGGTTTACATTTAAAAATACATTTTTATGTGATGTTTTTTTGTAGTTTTATGATATTCATATGGATCTAGTGAGATTTATTCATCAATCAAAGACACTTGGAGAATTTGAGTTTGTTGGACTTTTTGGCTTCTGGAGACGCACCAACACTCTGCTACTGTTTCCTTAAATGGCCTGGGAGTGTAGACAAGTGGACAAACAAAGATAAACGGTTTGAGATTTTTTGGAGGCTGTCAACCAACAGGAAGCAGGAAGTCTCTCACATCACTGATAACATCAACCCGTCAGTCAAATGAGGTCAGAGCCGAGCTTTGATGAATCCGCTGAGTCACAACACAACTGTAAACCAGGCCAAACTCTGCAACACAACCTGCGTCACATGACCGACGCTGCTGCAACTCAGCAAATCTCCAAAATCCTCTCAGAGGTGAAGAAAGAGGGGACCACCCTGGGTGACTCACAGGGGCCCGGAGTGACCAGGGGCCACAGGACATGAACAGTCCTTTCATGTTGAGACCTTTCTCTTGTTGCATCAGACGCAGTGATGTTACGTGAGGTCATAATGTGAGTCAGACCAACTTCCTACACATCCTGACAACAAGTGAAAACAAACAAAGCTTCATGACTAATGTAATCTATGTATTATCTACATATAGATTAGATCTTCTTCTTTTTGTTAATCTTGGTCATGGTCATGTTGGGCAGTGGTTCCCCTCTTTACAACTTCTGTAACATGATATTGTTATTTTATTTTACAGAATATATGTATGTAGGTGTGAGAATAATTTGAAGTTAAAGTTGATGTTTAATGGTGCGTTCCCACCACCCTTTAATCTGGTTTACAACGGTGGTATGGGCCTAAAATAAACCGATTTTGTTGTGATTTAAAGTCAATAAATGGATCAAAATGACGCAAAAAACCCCCAAAACGTTGGGATGGAGATTTGTAAAAAGTCTGAATTCATACTGAAAGACGACAAGCAAGCAACTTTAAAATGCTCGTTTTCTGAATGGAGTTTGGTTGATTGGGGCTATGTTAACTGAGTTTCTTTATTTGCATCTGTTCGGGTCTTTGCATTGACTTTGTAAACAGAAGCTAACCTCTGCTTTTGTGCAGAACATCAGGGAGTTGCTTTGCATGGTTGGTAAATGTGAGACATTCATGTTGCACGTTTGCATCTTCACAACAAGAAACAAGGAGTTTAGTGACATATGGCTGAATGCCTCAAATTTGCAGAAAACTTGCAAGGTCACTCTGAATTCCTGGACATTGACTTTAAGGAGCTGCTTTTTGCTCATTGTCATGTTGAAACAGAAAGGAAACAAACCTTTTTGTCTAAACTATGATTGTGTGGCAAAAGGTTTCTCACAATTTAAACACATTATGAAAAACTAACCAATCCCACGCTAAAGTTGTGTGTGAAAGTTTTCTGCTGATGTTTGTAAGTTTCGCAACAATCCATACATTCGTAACGTGGTGTTTGAAGCGCAGACTTCACGCTGCAGAAGATCAGATGACCTAGAAAATCTGCTGCCACTGTTGTATGGCAAAACCTTGAACCTCGACGTCGGCTGTAAAAGTGGGTTAACCATCAGGCCTCGTCATGCATGGTCTACGTGGTTTAGAGAGGAGGATCAAAGACACTATGGATAGATAGCGAAAGAAAGAAAGAAGGTGAGATCATCAGCGGACGTCCGACAGCAGTGCTGACTGTGACGCTCCTGCCAGGATAAATACCAGTCCAGCAGAACACCAGCCAACAAGACAACCACCTGCAGCTCCTCAAACAGTAGAGTACCATCAGACCTCCAGGTTGCACCTTTCAACCTGAACCTCCTGCAGAGCCTGAGGATCCTACAGACACAGTGTGCAATAGTCACAAAACATCCAGAACCGAATAAGAACCCAAAAGGACAACGAAGAAGCAAAAGAATCCAAACTGTCAGCATGTTTTCAACGTCAGACTGCTCCAAAGTGACGGTAAGAAAGACTGAATTCTTCTCATTTAATCTGAGTTCAGGACCAGAAATCTTAGCGTGAACAAATAAATAAGACATTCTGAAACATTTAATTTCCTTAACAAAGTATTTAAAATGCATAAATGAGCTAAGAATCTGTGAAATTAATTATTTAAACTCAACTTATTATTATTAACAGTTTGTCACCTTTATCAAAAAACTGCAGCCTCTGAGATTTGCATGTTGCACTTTTACACGATTAATTGTTCAGTGTCACATTAAACATGTTTAAAACATCTTATTTGATTAACCTTAAAAATTCATACAGGAATTTAGAAGAAAACATATATGATGGAAACTTTCTGTCTCTTATAGATTTTAAGATACGGTTGTTTGTTTTCACAATAGCAAACGACTGTTGGCTTATTGTTCTCTCAAGTTAAGTTAACTTATTTCAATTGGTTTTACAACTAAAATAAGACTTTAGTTATTCAACCAAAGTTAATTTAACTCACATTTATAGGACAGCAAATTAAATTATAACATTTTAGTTTGAACCTGCTAAACTTTATTAGATTTCGAAAATATTAACATTGCATAAGAAGAAGAAGAAGAATTACATTGTTAAAATTGTGTTTACTGCCACTGTGTAAATCTGCTTAACAGTTTTGGTAATTCCACTTATTAAGGCAGGCTTATTAAGTTTGTTTACAAAGAAATCTAATGTGAAAATCATGTTTTCACATGTCACACATTATACTTCACATGATTTTTTTGTGAATTCATCCTTATATATTTAAAATTTCTTAATTACAGTTTATTTTTTGTATTAAGCATTTCTCCTCTTTCTCAGGTTGCCTGCATGGTGGCAATGATGATGATGATGATGATGATGACGGAGGCAGCAGCCATGCCGAAAGGAGGTGGTTCATCAAAGCACTCAGCAAAGCACACAGGACACAGGAAGCCCTCTGATGGTGCAGCGGTAGAAACAGTCCCCCTGCAGCTTGACCCCAATGCTTTGGTTCCCACCAAAAACCTCAGGCCCCTGGAGAACTCCTCCATCTCCCCGTGGACATACAAGTAAGGAAACAAACTAACACAGGAAACCATCTCTCAAGCTAACATAAAGAAAACAGCGGTTTGGTCCTTTAATCATAAAGCCATATTTATAGTTTTTTTGTCTCGTCTTTCTCTCCGTCCTCAGCATCTCCCACGATGAATCTCTGTTCCCTCCAATGCTGTCAGAGGCTCGTTGTTTGCTGAACGGCTGTCTCGACTCAGAGGGCAGAGAGGACCCGAACCTGGAGTCCAGACCCATCATGCACCAGGTGCTGCTGCTGCGCCGTGTCCGGTCGGTGGGCTCAGGGGTGGGGAACAGCTACCACTACCGACTGGAGTCCCGCCTCATTGCCGTGGGCTGCACCTGCGTCAGACCCATCGTCCAACAACAACAATGAAGACCAGCAGAGGCCAGACCAGCTACTGGGTTAGTCTGATGCAAACAGCATCAGACCAGGACTGCCAAAACAAAAATTTAGAAAAGAAAAATACACAATATACAAATACATATAGACAGACTTCTGTCATATTATAAATATGTACTATTAACATTATTATATTAAGCTAATTTATAAAGCACAACAACAAGTTACAAAGTGCTTCTCTAATAGACCAATAAATCAAAAAAGATGAAACAGAGCAATTTTTTTATTATTAAAGTAAACACCAACGTTGCTGCAATGGATTTATTTTGGCAGAGAGAGATCCATAATGGGAAGAAATCTGACTAAAGGAAAAGCAAGATGTAGATTTGGGAGTCGTCTGCATAGAATCAAATATCATGCTTTGAAATCCTGAACCGAAAATGTAAAATGTGTCTGGAGAATAATAGGACCAAATTCATTTCCCTCATTACTGTGATTGTAAGTCACAATTGTTTGTTAGTCCAGAACTTCAGAGTTAAGACATCACACTGGCCAGTAACTCCAGCTTTTCATATTTAATTTGATTGGATGTGAGGTGAAGGTCTTCCTCAGTGAGTTTGAATATTTATTTATGTCACTTACATGCTGCTCTGTGATCCGCTGGATGTCAGATTCAATTATTTGATTTAATTTTTCCTTTAAATGTTTTGCATTTTCTTGAATTTCTGTGTTTACATTTGTCTCTAACTACACAGTGGAGCTAAAGTTAAAAAAGCAAAAAGATTATTATGGATGTGTTTCATATATTATGTTCTATTTATGGTTTTAGTTTATTTAAATTACATTTTATTTAAGTGTGTTGATCTTCAGTAGGTATTTATTGGTTATTTTATATTAATGTTAATGTATTTATAGTTCAGAATGTGGTGTCGACTAAATAAAAAAAATTAAACAAAGAAGTAAAGTGTCATTGTTTTATTCTTGAATTTAAAATATAATGTGATTTCTGTACATTGTCGTCATCATCATCATCATCATCATCATCTCACCCTGACTCCTTTACAATGACATTGCCAGGGAAACAGGCACACACACAAACATACCACTGTAGCTGTAAACAATGTACACAATCGCTTCTCAGGCATTCATCACTAAAATTCATTCATTCGTATCAGCAGGCGGTTGATATATTGATTGTTGGACAGGTAAGTTACCGGTGATATAGCTAATGTTAGCCACATGAGCTACCTAGCTGTTAATTCTTGATGTACACAGGAAGGAAATATAGAATAGTTGCATAAATGCTAGCATGCTAATTTTAGTGAGTTGTCTTGATATTCAGAAAAATGAGACAAATCTAAATATAGAATCTGATAAATAACATTTAGGAGCTGTGAAAGCAGGGCTAGAGAGATTTGTATAGTTTTAGGTAACTTGGAGTCGTCTCTGCCTCTCGTTTGACTCAAACTTGTCTCGTGGATGTTTTGTGTGTTTAAATCTGACCTTGTCTCTGTATCTCGGTCTGAACTAGGGCTGAGCGAGTAGTTGTCTGTAACGACTATCCGGTACTGTTACGACCCGGATCGTAAGAACTTTTTCTATTTCTGTGTGTGCTTTAATCTCCTCTGTACCTGTGCTGTTGATCTCTCTGCTGTGGTACCTGTAGCTTGTGGTTTGTTAACTGTGTACAGATGTTACAGCCCAGTTTAGGTCGGGGTGGGTACCATGTTTAACCATTTTCTCCTGTTTTTGATAAGGAGTTAGGTTAGTGACCTGTCTTCAGTTTCTTTGATTTGAGTATGTTAGGGTAAGGTTGCTCTGCTTTAGTCCCTTTTGGTTTTTTGTGTTGCTGTTAGCTCATACTGAAGCTGAAAAATTCAAATAAACTTTTAAAAGTGGTTAAAATTCTTTGTTGCTGGTGGTTCTTGGGAGCTGGGAGGAGGTACAGGTAAAGATAATGTACTTTATGGGTATCATCAGAGTAAAATGTGTCAAAATGACTTACTTACTCTTGTGATCAGAAACATTGCTCCGAAGCATCAATGTCTGATCAACCCGGATCATTTTCAGATTGAAATGATCTATGTCCAGTTAGTTAGGTTAGTTCTGCACACTTTAAGCCCCTCCGATTACGTACAGATACAGATAATGCTGAACTCGCTCATCCCTAGTATTAACTTGTTTTCTGTGTTGTGGGTGTTTTCATCCAGAATTGTTTGACTCTAACGGGTTCTCTGATACGGGCTCGTCTCAGAGAGTGTTTAGACCTGAACTTGTCTTGCTTTGGTGTGTGTTTTCAGCCGGACTTGTTTAGGGTCTCCTGGCTGTTTTGAGTCAGACTTGTCTCTCTCTTGTCTGCATTTTAAATTGTCTCGGACACTAATTTCACCTATAACGGTCTTTGGTCTCAACCAAGTCCAGTTGACTTGTTTTAAGCCTTTCCTGGTCTTGACTTGGTCTCGACCTGTACTAGGACTCAGCCTTGACCCAAAACTGCTGAGACTTGTCTCTGATAAGGCGGTCTTGACTGTACCCCTGCGAGAAAGTTTGCTGATTTTACTAGATGTCACCAACGTAACTGATCAATTCTTTCTTGTGGATTTGCAGTAACTGTAATGATGCAAACTGTCCAGCAGATGGAGGTGTTGATCAGCTGTACATCCAGGTAGCAGAGGCTCTTCCACAGTCCTTTCTCCTGGCAGGTAGAGGAAGTCCAGCCTGTGTTTTTCTGCTGGTTTGACGTAGAAGAAGCAGTTTCCTTTAAGTTTTGCGTTCCATTTCCTTCGCTTGGTTGGTGCAACTTTGATAAGACGTTGAAGAATCCGTGATACGTACACAATCACACACATGAACACATTGGCACTGTTGGCATGGCAACAAAGCACAGTAAAACCTCTGTGAACCACCTAATGATGACTGAATCTACAGCTTCCTTCAGTCTTTCTCATTATAAAGAGTTTATCTCGTTAAGAAGAGTCCTGGTTGTACAGAGGAGGTCGAGCAGTCGGACTCGCTCTCAGTCCTCCTCCTCATTTTCTTCTTCTCCCGCTCTTTTCAGAGCCTCTTCTTGTCAGTCTCCCAGTCGGAGCAGCGCCGGATTTCCAGCACATCAAACCTCAGCTCATCAGCCCTCCAAAATGGCTTCCAATTAAAGTTCAGCTTGTGTTGTGATCAGGCCATCAAGACACCTGGAAGCAAAAGGAAGGGGGTGCAGTTAGCACACCGCTAGCACATGCTAATTCTAAAGGAGTATGGCAGGACTAATGTTTTTCTGGATTCAGGAACGGCTAAATTCTGTTTATTTCAGAGTTAAAGAGAGTTTTCAGATTGAAAAAGAGACTTTCAGCATGAACAAAGTTCAACAAAGTTCGAAAATGTGACTTTTTGTAGATTGTGCTGAAATGTTTGCTCATACAGCTTTTTGCACTTAAGTTAGTTAAAAAAGCTGACCAATGACAATGTGGTACTTTTGACAGTATAATAATACAATTATCATGTCTTATTGTTGTATCTTGGGAAGCCTTTTTAACACCTTGTCCAGGGACTATAGATGGGCTTTTGGCTAATTCTTTTTCTTTTTTTACCATGTGTATTTATTGATTTACTCTGTCAAACATTTTTACACTCAATAGAAGAAATAGAATATATACACTTTATGGTCAGAAGTAATGCTACATTAAGATTTCTTGAAACACAGGTTCTTCCTGTATTTCATTTGTTGCTCCTGCCTATCTAACACATCTGACCAATAAGCAGAGTTCTCACGTGGTTTGTAGGGATGTATTTTGGGGGAAAACACTCAAAGTCTATAAACTCAACTGATTTGGACCAGAGTAAATGAACTGTAGGTGTGTGAACACCCTCAGAGTTGTTGGTAGAGGGGGGGTTGAACTGGACAGAGCCAGGCTAGCTGTTTCCCCCGTTTCTAGTCTTTATGCTCAGCTAAGCTAACCATGTCCTGACTCACACTTATCACAAACACATGAGTGCCATCAGTCTGAACATTCAGTAAAGCTGTTACTTTAAGAGTGCCTCAGTACGTCTACCCAGAATCCCCTCCTCCTCCTCCAGCTCGTCCTCACCTCCACACTGTGCTTGTCCTGAAAGACACAAACATCACAAACATGGTTAATGATTCATTTCCATGATACAGAATGTGAATCGTCTCAGTCAATGAGATTGAAAGCTGACGATAAACCGTGCGTCCTCACCTCCTCCTGCAGCCGCTCCTGTGAGGCGTTCAGGTGCATCTGCCGCTGCTCTTTGTCGGCGTCGGCTCGGTGCCCCTGCCGCTCTTTGGTCAGAGCTTTCTGAGCAACTTCACGCTCGTGCTCCCTCCTCTCCGCCAGGTGCTTCAGCAGCTCTGCCTCGTGACACTAGAGGAAGACAATGGGAGGATTTACAGTTTTTGTCATTTCTTGTCAGATTTTACAGAAGAGAGAACTCTAATGAGTTTGTTGAGTGTCAACATTAGTTTCTAGGAACTAGGTGGTCTTATTTTCTTGTAGCATAGTTTCTTGTTGAACATTGCACGATGTCGCATCGAATCAATCTGTTTGTTTGATGTGAATGCAGATAAAAAATCAAAACATCTTAATCTGGCTAAAACTGCTGCCACTAATCATCACTCGTAACACTATTAAATAACGTGGTGTTCAACAGAGATTGATTTTAGGGCTACTGCTTTTTTGTCTGAAACTGAAATATCAACAACTATTGGATGGATTGTGATGTAATTTTGTACCAACAATTTATGTTCCCCTCAGGATGAGTTGTAATAACTTTAGTGATCCTCTGACTTTTCATTGAGCGCCATCATCAGGTCAACATTCCCATCATCCGCAGCTGTTCTTTTTAGTGCTAATTAGCAAAGGTTTGCAGTTTAACACACTAAACTAAGGAGGTAAAGCTGCTAATCATGTTAGCATTTAGCTTAAAGCACTGTTGTGCATACTGTAAGTACAGACTCACAGAGCTTGGCTGTAGACTCAACTAATGTCACCTTTACAATAAATAATAACAATTAACAATCTAATTTTCTTGAACCTTGCTCCACACACCTTCCTCCTCTCTTGGGCGGCGTCCAGTTTCTTCTGGATCTCTTCCAGTGAGGGTTTCTGGCGAGGTGGTGTGGTTGCCCTCAGCTCGGGGCCGCCGTCGAAGGTGGGCGGCTTCAGGATGACCTCGAAGGCCTGGCCGCTTGCCCTTTTGCTCAGCTCGATCACCTCCATGTCCCGGATGTTGCACAGGTTCAAGTCCACCACGCCTGCTGCAAGGAGAGCACGAGACCATGAAATGAGCACAAACTGATCTTCCAGTTTCATCTTCAAAATCTAAAGTTTACAGTCTGAACTTTGAAAAATATAAATGAAATGTTGTCTGTATGAGACAGGAGACTTTGTGCAGGTCCCAGATAGAAACCGAGGATATTTGTTTCTTAAGGTCAGATTTGACCAGCTTGTGGAGATGAGTCATTCATATAAATATAATCTGTGTTTGCTTATGAAGCTGTGGCTTTTGGAGATTAAAATAACTGAGTGAATCAGCACACAGACAGAATTTATCATCAGTTCAACATTTTAACTGAGAGCTGCAACGATTTGTCGATTTATCGATTAGTTTTCAATCATCAAAAGAATCTCCAGCTATTTTAACAATTGTTTAATCATTTTGAGTCATTTTAAAGAAATCAGCTGTGTGAACATTTTCTAGTTTGTAGGTAAAAAAACAAATTGATTAAATTGAGAGAATGACAGACAGATTAATCAATCGTGATTTGTCCAATTGCAATTTTATGATTTGATTAATATCTGTGTGTTAGCAGATGAGTTAGTGGCTCCCAACCTTTTTCCTTAAGGGAGCCCTTTTCTATCAGTGAGTAAACTGACTATGT